TTAAATTGCAATTACGTGCGATATCAATTGGCAATCCGGCGCATGTTCGGTCAGACACCTGAAATTTCAAGCCATTAGCAGCTGTCGCATAGCCCGTCATGCAGGTATTTCGAAAATGTGCACCTGTAGAAATCTTACACGAGCTAACAAGAACTATATGAGGCCACAGATCAAGCTGCTTGCTGTTTCCGCTTTCAGGCCCAATGCCAATATTCATTAAGCAAATGCACGAGAATCATATGAGAGAAAACTATTTAATTGCGTCCAAGTACAGGTCTCTACTGATATATTGAATACGTTTCATATTAAGTCAAATTGCTTGTTAAAAATTGGGAGATGTTCATACTTAAATAAATTTCTTTTAACTTTCCTGAAGCATTCAAAATTTAAGTTACACCACAATTCCACACAGAAGCATTTCGATTATCGACAGTTCACTGTATGCACCCACACATCGGCACACTTGCTCTCATTTGCGCTTACGATTGTGGCTTATTTTCGTGTAAATGAAATATTGTAACGAAACTTTCGGTTCTCTCGTTGGGCGACCGACTGTGCCTCGCCTATTTCGGGTGCAGCTGTAATAAAAATAACATTACCGGGTGGGCACACATCAAATTTTGGCTTGTCGCAGCACCATGAACTTGAACTTGTCATAGATTTCTTACGACAGATTGCAGATGGATGCTTCCGTTTTGTCTTTCGTGCATTCCCCGATTAATCACACAAAACACAATGCGCTTAAAATGTCTACAACTTTAATATAATTTATTGCCATACATTTGTCGCTTAATGCTACGTTTCCAATCTCGATATGTATATCTATTCTACAGTTATTTGGAAGATAATTGAGCTATCATATGTAGGTAGATAATGTCTAATTAGCATTCGAGCAAATAACACCACAACAAATTATAAGAACATAAATCATAAATTAATAATAATACATAACTAAATTAACATCAATATATTATGAGCAATATATTTTATAACACGCCAATTATTTAGTGTGCATGTGTAGTAAAGCATTGTTCGATAACGGTAACAAAAAATACATGCGGAAAGTAATATTTAAAAATCAACACGAGCGTAATATGAATGTTTTCGTTTTTCTTTAGTAATCGTAATGGAATCAGAAGCAAACGCCTAAAGGCTTCGACGGCTCTGCCGTTTGGCAGTTTCTATATATATATATATATATATGTATACTATATATTTATGGGACTAAGCCCAAGCGTTTGCCGAATTTGACTAGTTTAACTGACACGCTCCGGTCAAGTTGGAAGCGTTCGCAGGTTGGTTAAGCCAATACTACTACTACTACTGGTGCTGACGTCTATAAGACCTTCTTCATGTATTTCTTGTTAAGATTTTGTAAGCTCGGCAGCTCGCAGTGGCGCGGTCCATACATAGAAACAGGTGCACAGTATTCGTAACCAATGCGTTCGTAGAAACCATCCTGGTCAATGGTCGACAGGTAAATTGTATTTAGGTCGAGCACCACACGGCAATAGTCTTCGGCAAATTTCATGATTAACTTTCCAAAGCCCTGGCCACGGTACGACTTGTCCACAACAACAGACTCTACAAAGCAAGCCTTCTTTTTGGATGTGATCGGACTGAGCTTCAGATGCGCTATCACACGGCACATTCCCTCCGTGGTCAGGACCAGGCTGCAAGGCAGCGTATCACAAGAAGCCTGTAGAGAGCGCATGCGTGCAGTCTCGGAGCGCGGCCATTCGGAGTTGATGAGCGCGCATGTATCCTTCATTAGCTCGGGAGCGTTGTGAATTGGAACCACATTGAATGGACTGCCGGAAACATTGAACGGTGGAAGCCCCTGCAAGAAAATCAAATATATTAGCAACATGCCAATAGATGTGTCTGTTAGAAAAATATTTAGTCATTGCTTTTGTTTGGCTATAAGTGGTCCAGCTACCTCATAGTATGGCTCCCGTTTAACATAACGCATATCGCCTTAACTGATAAACTAATTGGGCCGACTTTTTTTGTGCCAGCATCAGGCTACCGAAAAGTGCCAAAATCTAAAAGAGAACAAATAAAATTCTATTCGTTTCGAATCGAGGTACAACTACACTGAATACTTCTGAGTTATTTACAGGTGAACAAGTGGATATGTGTATTTATAACAAATGGCTATGAAGTATATATATATATATACACATTGTACACATTGAACAATTATTTTTGACATTTGACATGTGGAGTCCTACGCTGCATAAAGTGTATGAATTATGTTAATTAAATTATTATTAAAATTAAATTATTATTATTATTTTTTTTTTGTTATACTTTTTTTTATAGCTTCAGTTTCAGTCTCAGTTATTGGCCTTTAACTTAATGCTAAAGACATTTTGAAGAATTCAAAAAATAAATAGCTAACTAAAGTTAATTCTATTTGAATTATGTTTGAATGAAGAAACCTGGGCAACAAAATATTCGCTCATTATTTACATTCAGATAGAGGGCATTTTTCATAAAACATAATGGAAGCAACATTTCCGAGCGTTGAACTTGAATTCAAACGCAGCAAGGCTTTGATATAATAATAAAATCTTTAGCTAATTATAAACAAATAAACTATTTTACTTGTGTATTTATATACATTATTTCATTTTAGTGACCGCGACTACAATGTGGGTGTTAAGTCATGGAAAGCACCCACACATATTTACATTCTACAATACATGCATACATATCTACATTACTACACAACACATAGGCATGTGTTTGCCTATAATTTTGTCCGCGAAAATCAAGGTGATTCATAAAAAATGTTTCTCTAAACGTTAACGGCACTTGCACGACCTTGACTAGCTAAATCGGCAAAAAACATATAATATATAACATATTTAAGCACATTCTTTTCGGAAATTGGTTAAGATTTGGGCATATGACTACCATTGTACATATAGATATGAACATACATACAAACAAATGATTCTAATAAAATTGGTTGTACATGTATACATATGTATGCCCGTAGAAAAAAGCACCGCATAAACACACAAACACATACTTAAATTTTATATATGTATAATTGTTGAAAAATGCCTAATTATTGACTTTTTTGTTGCTGTTTACCATTGTGAGCACTCTTTGCTCTTTGCGTTGTTGTTCCTCACGAGCGCCACGACGAAACGTACAAAGCGCACTGATATAGTTTCCAATTCTGACGATCCGAAAAATGGGCCAAGTTCCGCAGGCCGAGCAAAATGTTTAATATACAATTGATGTTGATGATAATTTTGTTGTTTGTGTGTTTGTAGTTGTGGCGGTAGTGACGGCGTTGACGGCAACAACAGTTTACGCTTGGTTGACTTTGTACAAGAGAATTTTTTTGGTTTGATATGTATGTATCGGCCCTGTCTCTATGCTTTAATTCAAATATGATTTTAATTTAAACAGCAGCCGTTACGCTTTGTTTTATTTTTAAACATTTTGTTTAATACTTGTGTGGAGCGATGGTATGTTGCCACCTTGTTGATAAATGCAGCGCACTGCCAACTTTCTGGCAAAGTGAATCGGCTGGCCACCACAAATTATCGAGCATTTATAAATACATCGGAAATAATAAACAACAAAATATAAATAACAAAAAGTGAACTACTTGCGCTTTACAGCAGACATCTTACAAATAAATGATAAGACACATCCATTGCAATTAACAGATTAATAGTGAACTTACAGCGACCTAGTGCCGTTATAATTGCCAAAGAGCAGCTGTTGAATTTTTCTGTTCGCGACACTGAAATATTTATTACACAACAAATAAATCAAATAAAGACATATCGACAATGTGCAACATTATAAAATTGGCAGCGTACAGTCTATAAATAATTTGTAAACAAACTGAAAAAGAGGAAAGACGCTCGCGCAAGCAAATAACAGAAAGCCATTGACACTGACCCACTGATTGATCTGCAATTGTGTTCTGTCATCGGCCGACGCCGACGTCAATGAAATTAACGTTCCGCAGGCCAAACGGATTCACGTGCAACAGCCGCTGAAATGGCGAACCGACAAATGGCGCAGCCAGCAGAAAACCCTTTACGTCTATCCTGGCACGATACCCAGATGATGGCCACATTGAGTCCCCAGACCGTTATGGACTACTTTTGTCGTAAAAGCAATCCCTTCTACGACCACATGTGCAACAACGAAACGATAAGAATGCAACGTCTTGGAGTTGAGCACTTACAGTGGGTATTTGATGCAGTTAATTGAAGATTCAGTTTTTATAATTATCTTATAATTACAGTAATATGCTTGGCATGGAGTATATTTTGCTTCACGTCGCTGAACCTATCCTCTATGTCATCCGCAAGCAGCATCGCCACAATCCTTCAGAGGCGACACCAATTGCCGATTACTATATAATTGGGGGCACCGTATACCAAGCGCCCGATCTGGCCAATGTTATAAATGCGCGTATTGTAAGTATAGCTGCTTTTCCTTTTTTTTTTTTACTGTATAATCATAAAATGATGGTCTGCTTTCAGCTCAACACAGTTGTCAATCTGCAGTCCGCATTCGAGGAAGCCAGCAGCTATGCGCGCTATCATCCCAACAAGGGCTACTATTGGGACTTTTCGTCCAACAAAGTTTGTAAGTACATTCTATTCTAGTATATTCTACATTTGCAAAAAAAACTGAATCCGTCATATATTGCTTTTAGTGTCGGACAAGTCTAAAAATGATAAAAAGGATCCGAACGCAGCCAAGGATGACAACAGTGGAACTCTCTTCCAAAAGCAACGTGTGGACATGTTGTTGGCCGAATTATTACGTAAATTTCCACCGCCCATACCACCAATGCTACAAAATTTGCAGCAGCCGCTGCAAGTGGCCTCGGGAGCCGAGGGCAGCATGGGCGCGAATTCAGCAGAGAATCATGCCATTGGGCCATTGGATGTAGCAACGGAGAGCATAGACATGAAGCCGCCGCCTGAGAAGAAATCGAAATGATTGGCGAGCAATTTAATCATTTAATCGTATATTTGATAATAAGTAAAGTAAACACAACTTAATCTTAGGAATTTGATTTAATCTTCATTTAGAGCACTCAGTGCATTAGCTGTGGTCGGCTTCTTATTCTTGGAGTGTACTGTCAGGCAGTGGTTGGTGTAGTCGAGTATGCTCTTGAATGACTGCTTGCAGATGTGGCAGGGCACAGATTTCGTGGGCGTACGATAGACACCAGCATGGGCCACACTCTTGGGAGCCTTCTTTACCGATGGTGGTACCATTTGCATTTGATCTTTGGCTGCTGAGTCTGCAGCTCCACCGCTTTTGGGGGCTACAAGCGCAGAGAATGTAACAAAGGATTTTCTTCCCGGCCTAGGCTTAAACTTACCCATGAATGGCTGTTTCTCTAACTGTTGCATTATGCTAGCACGCGACTTGGAAGAGCTGTCGCAACTTCCAGCTGACGAGTTGCTAGTCAGCTTAGGCAGCTTGGCCTTTTGAACGTGATTCAACTCTGTGAATGAGAGTTTACGCTTCTCCCCTGGCGGTATTTTGTCACAGTTCTCCATCAGGTGAATGTGTAGCGCGCGTTCCAGGACGAATTTCTTGTCACAATACTTGCAAAAATATGAGTTCTTGTTTCGCATGGCCAATGCACTCTTCGTGTGCGTATCCATGTGCATATCCAGCGACTTTTTCTCACTGAAGCTGGCAGTGCACAATCGGCATTTAAATTGAAGTGTTGTTGGAGCTGTAGCAGTAGCTACGCCCACAGCTGGCTTTTTTGCCCTTAGGACGATTGCATTGCAAGAGGAATTTTCAGTGCAGGAACGTAGCAACAAGGATTGGCGGTAGGCACTATTCACTATGGGACCACCCTTGGTCGTGGGCAAGCAGCTACGGCGAGAAATGGGATTACCTGTAGCTAGCTTGCGTGCTGGACTATTCAATGTGGTTTTCACAACAATCGACATGCGCTGCTTGAATGTGGTGCCACTAGCTGTGGGCAGGAAGGAGCGACGAGGACGTGGCATAGCAACTGCTGGCAGCTTTGTTGATTTGTCGGGCTTGCTTGAGCACTCGGTAAGCTTGAGAGCTTTGACAATCAATTCGGACACTTCATTTACCATGTCATTGACCACAGAAGCTTCATTGGCTTTGATTTCCTGTTCAAATGCAACCAATGGAGCAGTAGATGGCATAGCTATGAACGGCTCCACGTTAGATTTTGGGCGATTAACTGCAGTCGATACAGTTATGGATGGCTTCTCACTTGAAGCTGGCCGATCAACTGCAGTTAACGCAGAAGCAGATGAAGATGGGCGTTCAGGAGAAGCAGATGGCACAGTTGTGGACGGCTTCTCATTTGAGGCTGGGCGATCAGCTGCAACTATCGGAGAAGCAGACAGCACGGTAATGGACGTCTCCTCAGCAGAAACTGAGCGATTAAAGGAAACACATATTTAGCAGCTTATTAATAACATACATATATAATTTTGCTATTTACCTTCCGTTATATTCTCTAGCACAACATTGGCGCTCAAAGGGTAAACACTACTCTTATTATTGTTTTCCTTCACAGAGTTTTCGTCAAGTGTCATATTTGCCTCGCTGAACATCGTATTGGTTTTCACTGTGGAGACTGTGGCGTCTATGGTGGACGACAATGTCGAATTCTGTTCATCTGGCTGAGTATTTTCCTTTTCTGCATCCACTGCAGTCGAAATCGGACGCATGCCAGGCATTGTCATATTTTTTGTAGGCGTCGAGCTCAATGCGTTGTGTTTGTTTAGAATACTTTTGTCAAAGGGCCGCAATGGTGAGCCCTGATCCTTGGAAATGTCGTTCTTCATTAGAGTGTCAAGTATTGATTTCATATCGTTCTTCTTCTCCTCCAATGTTTCGTCATGTTTTAGGTCCTGCTCCATGTTTTGCATTTCTAAATAGTGACTAGTTTGCGAGGCCATTGCCGATTGCCATTTGCTGGCAAGCGTGTCATCGGAATCACCGTCAAAGGACAAATAAACACTAAGGCTTTCTTCACCAGAAGCAACTGAACGACTCGAATTCTCCATAGCTGAACGACTATCAAAAATTATACACTTAATTTTTTGTTTCACTAACGCACAAGATGAGAACAGAAAATCTTTGTTTATATTAAATAATTAATTACAAAATATCGCGCTGAAGATCACTGACGCTTAGCCTTGGCTGTACCAACAACTATTCGTTAATATTTCAAATGTGTTACCCAACACTAAACGCGCCAACCAGTTATGAACGGCGGTAAAAATTAATTGCAGCTTCGCGGTGGGTGCTCAAAGTTTTTTTTATTATATATTTTCTCAATTTCAATTATATGTTGTGCTGTTATAATATTGTACTGGTAGTTTTTGTAAGATCTGTTGAAATTTACAACTTAGAGGATTGCTATGATTTGATACTAAACAGCCCTGGCTTATCGGTTATCGGTGTCGTGTATATGTATGTCGATAAATTTTGTATATACACAATTGGTTCTTGTATTTGCATAAAAAGACTTGCCAAAATATTGTACAAATTAAAATAAACTTTCGATCATTATTAGTGAAATTTAAGTTCCAGTTCCTATTATAAAGAATCGAGCTTGATATAACGATAATTCCTATAAACACATTGTGGTGGCGTCAGCACTGATTGTGACTCACTTTCCAAATTTCGCGAACCTAAAAGGAGAAAAAATCGCAACCACTTGCTAAGTCATCAGTTTGACGTAAACACCCGTACTTAATAATCACGTAATGGCTGCAGTCGGAGAAAATGAACCGCGCACAGAGTTGCAGGAGTTGCAGCTTAAGTCTGCCCAAGTGGCCGATGAGTCTTTGGAAAGTACTCGTCGTATGCTCAGCTTGATGGATGAATCCAAAGAGGCTGGCATACGCACTCTGGTCGCCCTAGATGACCAGGGCGAGCAGCTGGATCGTATCGAGGAGGGCATGGATCGCATCAATGCTGACATGCGAGAGGCCGAAAAGAATCTCAGTGGCATGGAGAAATGCTGTGGCATCTGTGTATTGCCCTGGAAGAAAGTCAACATTAAGGACGACAGCGACAGTGCATGGAAAGCCAACGACGATGGCAAGGTTGTCGCCAGTCAGCCACAGCGTGTCATAGACGAGCGGGAACGTGGCGGCATGGGAGCACCTCCGCAATCCGGGTATATAGCACGCATAACCAACGATGCACGCGAAGATGAGATGGATGAGAATCTGGGACAAGTCAACTCAATGCTGGGCAATTTGCGCAACATGGCCTTGGACATGGGATCAGAGCTAGAGAACCAGAACAAGCAAATTGATCGCATCAATGCCAAAGGCGATGCAAATAACATACGCATGGATGGTGTTAATAAGCGCGCAAACAATTTGCTCAAGAGTTAAACGCCGAAATTTTCACTTGAAACGATGATGATATACATATGATAACCTAATTAGAAGCTTCTTCTCATGCTCCTACTCCGCTCTTCACTTACGTGGTACAACTTACTAACTCACAGAAACATTCACAATCAACAGCTAGAGGATCAACAGCAACAATAAGGAACAAATGTTGTGGGCACAAATTTAGAAGCAGCAGCAACAATTTTAATTTACATATTTGCTGCTGCTGCAATATCTAACTTTATATATATATAATATATACGTATACGCTTGGTAAAGCAAATATGGAAAATATCAACTAATGCGACTAACCCATCTATACAAAAATATTATATATTGTATATCTATTTGTATACCTATTGTCTAACTAATAAGCACGCGTTTACGCGCAACCAAAAGTGAAACACACAAATTTTATAATGAGATTTTCGTAGAAATGTATTTACATTTTTTTGGTACAAACTTTTTGAGGCATTTTCCGACCTTTACGATGAACTAAACTCGACAACTTTATGACAAAAGTATATTTACAATTTGTGCGGCCCGAAGTGATGAAGGCATTTATTCAAGGAGTCAACGGAAACGAACGGAACGCGAACGCCTGGTTGAGAATTATTAAATATTTAAGAGTAGTGTCATATTCGTAGCCAATTTATGTGCATTCTTTGTGTACGCCACTTTGTTAATACTATACAAAATACAATATAAATATATGTATATTGATGTACCCCCTATCTATTTATAATATATATACACACACAAATATTTATAAATATAAATATATATACATCATACGTCAAACAAATTGTAAACCCAGTTATTAGATTAAGTCGATGCAAAATTGTTTGTTTTGCAGTAATCTTAAATTCGTTGTACACTTGAAAATGTTTATTGTATTTGTGTTGAGCGATGATGTATTTTGATTATATTGATTAGATTTAACCCCGCTTTAAGAAATTATTATTGCCACTTAAGTTTCAATAGTAGCTGTTATAAATTGAAACAATTTAAAAATGTAACGTCTTTGGTTTATTTCAAATTTTAAAAAATCACACCACAAATTTACATTCTAAGCAAGCCGAAAATAATTATATGTTGCAATGTAAGCGGAAAAGTCATCGCCGCAGTCCTCCGTATGCAGGAACTCAATTGCGGGAGCAGCCTCGACTGGAATGTAGATAATGTTGCCACGCGATACGGTTATCTCTTTGGGGCCGTCTTTTGTGGTTAGCTTAACAATGCGCTTCCCGGTCAATGTCAACATGATGGAGCCGTATTTCTGTATTTCCAGTTTGTAGGTATCCACAGTGTGACTTATAGCAACATGGATGACTGCAAAGTCATCAACAGGTGGCGCGAACACCTCTACGAAATCATCGATTCGATATGGCATAAACAATTTGCATCTCGCCGGCTTGCCCTCATATATCACAGAGGAAATTAGCTGCTCGACATCTTTGTACTTGGGCGTGAGTCCCGCACGAATGACATTATCGGAACAGGCCATGCACTCCACACAGTCGCCTTCCAGATACGCGTGAATCTCATTGGCGCCCAAGTATATGCCTTGGCCAGGTTTCAAGTGTATTAGGTTTAGAAAGAATAGAGAGAGCACACCGACGTCACCAGGAAAGTCCGCATTGATCTTGTTAAATACATTTAACAATTCGTTGCTCTCGAGTTCTGCACAAAAAGAAAAGTAAATTTAACTGAAATACTTTAACTGACTTTTCCGACTTGCCTTTCTTATACTTTTTGGCTATCTCCTTGAGGCACGCGGCTATCTTAGCATCGTTGGATCTCATTAGGATCTCGTAGCATGCCTTTAAGCTTTCCGTATCTCGTTTTTGGTGCAACTCGTGGACTGCCTCCTTGCCGATGAGCTTGGACAGTGGCTGGAACTCATCAATGTTATCAATGATATCATCGATCGGCTGAAATCCAACCAATGCTAGGAAGGGTGTCAGGGCAATGCACATCTCCGGCTTGTGGTTACTATCCTTATAGATTTCCGGTCGCTCCGCGTGCAGACGCTCAGCTTCGCATTTATTTGGATGCACTTGTATACTCAGTGCTTTTTTAATGCTCAACACTTTGAACAGGTACGGCAGTTCCATCTTCAGAACACGGTCTAGAGTTTCTCCCGTCTCTTTAACAATGGAAACACCGCAAAAATGGGTGCCCATCCACATTTCCGCGTAGGGCTCATCATCTTTCAGGACAAAATCCGGATCGTTAGCCATTGCCAGTTGTGCAACGGCTGAATGGATGCCATTTTTGCCCCATTCGTAATTTTTTACCCAGCCAGTTAGCTCCATCGTCCTAACGCCTGCGGAAAAACTTTTCTTTCTCTGCTGGGGTCAACCTGAAGGTGATAAGAAACATATGATTCATACAGCTGTATGAAAAGGTGGGAGGCAATCCATTGGCAAATGCGTATTATTTTTTACATATATGCCAATCCTGTCCACTCACCACGCCTACAATTGTACATACAGATAAAATTTTTTTTATATTTTTAAATTTTAAAAAAATATTTGATCTACATATTTTTAAAATGTCAAATAGTGTGACCGCAAACGGTAAAATACTGATTTTCCAATTAGAATAAAATGTTTGAAGAAAGCATATTTAATCTGTAGATAATCTGTAGACAGTTCTGAAAAGTTTATCCCAAAAAATCTGAATTAAATAATGCGCATTTTGCTTTATCTCAAGTTACTTGCAATTAAAAATGCATTTACTTACTTGTTTAAAAATGTACGCTTTTAATTATTTTTTGTTCATCGCTGTTAAACATGTAACAGTTTATGTTATCGTTTTTCTTGCTTGCAATACATTTACCAATTGGCAAAGCTTACAGAAATATCGAATCGCAGCTATCGTTCATCGCTAGTGACAACTTGCACTTTGTCGGCATTTTGAGTTTTTCCTTTAATTTTATAACTTGTAAGGTATGTAACAATCAATATTACATTTTAATTTGTTTATTGATTAGGGCCTGCTAATTTCTTTGATATGCTTTGCGTGCTACGCCCTAAAAACAAACGGTTTCATAGCATTAAGAGGGCCGCATGCGTATGTACTTATATACAAAGATATACATTCATACATATATGTACGCGTTCATCATTTCTATGTTTATGTTTTTCATTGTTTGATATAATTTGGAAATTAAAGCGTTTTACATTTTGCAGTTGCGGATCAGAAAATTTGTTGGTTGTTTGTATTAATATGAAAATAAATTTGAAAATCGTGTAACAGTCAAAATTCTCCGTCATGTTGCTAGTTCAGAAAATTCATAGATTTCGTCAACTAGGACAGTTTTGCCAATTAAATTTTCGAACAGTCAGCAGTTACACGTTAGCGCGACGTTTCCAAAAACAGTCAAAGCGCATTCTAAATTCCGGTAAACCAAGTACACCAGTTGGGCACGCAGCCATTAATTACAGGTATTCCACTGTTAGGCGATCAGCTGTTATCTAAATGCATATCTGATTTCTCTCTTTGTTGCAGCACACGTGTTAATCTGCCAGAATTAAGCGTAATGGCCAGCAAAACTTCACATTTTGTCCTGCCCAATACACAGCCCATTGCCGATTTGGATTGTAAAAATGCATTTGAAAATTTAACCGATAAGGAAAAGCTGTACGCTCATTATTTTAGCAAGGCCTCGTGGGATGGCGGCCTCGTTGCTGTTATTCAGTCCAGTCCGGAGGCTCCACTTATCTTCTCGCTGCTGCATCGCATTTTTGTTGCCGAAAAGCCCGCGGATCTGAAAATCAAAGCACTGAAAGCAGGCGCCACAGAAGATGATTTTACAGTAAGTATATAAGCAGCTACGACGATAGCTCCGTATGGAAAAGATGAGTGGAATACGATCATAATCATGCATTAAGAGCTAACTGTAAAAAGTTTATTATAGTGTTATCTGTCGCCTGTTAATCTGCAATTAAATAATATATTTTATCATTCTAGGCATTCCTTGTTTACGCTTGTGGCGTGTTCGCCAATGCAGGCAATTACAAGGGCATGGGTGATAGCAAGATCGTGCCCAATTTACCGGAGGAAAAGTTTGAGGCAATTGTGCGATCGTCCGCTGCGTATGCAAATGAGCCACGTGTAACCAAGACATTTGAGAAGGTGAAAAATCTAATTTATGCGCTGGATGCGCGCAATGAAGTGCTCGGCTTTGCGCCAAGTGGTGTAACCACATACTGGTCGGATAACTGCACCAAGGAGGATTCAGAAATAGTCAACGATTGGCTGACATCGAAGCGCATTGAGCCATATATGTGTCGAACATTCAAGGTGACAGAAAACGGAAAAACATTCTATGACGTTAAGCTCGGCTCAGTTGCGAACTCCAGCAAGGAAGGCATTACCTTGGCGCTGGAGGAATTCAAGGGCAACCAATTCCGGGTTACGCGAGGCGATTATCAACCGTTGCTGCAACGCGTAAACGAAAATTTGCGTCAAGCGAAAAAATATGCTGCCAACACTAATGAAGAGAAAATGATTGAGCATTATATTAAGTCCTTCGAGGAGGGCTCTTTAGCCGAGCACAAGAACGGCTCCAGATGGTGGATCAAGGATAAGGGACCCGTCATTGAGACATACATTGGTTTCATTGAGACCTACCGCGATCCAGCTGGCGGCCGCGCCGAATTCGAGGGCTTTGTGGCCATGGTCAACAAAGAAAGCTCCGCTAAATTTGCCGAATTAGTTAATCGTGCCGAAAAGCTTCTAGAATATTTGCCCTGGACACAGGCCTATGAAAAGGATTCGTATTTGAAACCAGATTTCACGTCCCTAGATGTGCTAACCTTTGCTGGAAGCGGAGTGCCCGCTGGCATTAATATACCTAACTGTAAGTAGAGAATTATTTACAAAAAAAAAGAAACGAATATGCTGATAATATGTTTTCTACCATCTTACAGATGACGAAATTCGTCAGGACGAGGGCTTCAAAAACGTTTCGTTGGGCAATGTGTTGGCTAATATCAATCGCAAAGATTCCATACCTTTTCTATCCGACGAGGATCAGGCGCTGATGAAGGAGTACAAAGTGAAGGCCTTTGAGGTGCAGGTTGGATTGCATGAACTTCTGGGACATGGCAGTGGCAAACTCTTCCGCATTGATGAAAATGGTACCTACAACTTCGATGTGAAAACAGTGAAGAGCCTCGTGACTGATAAGCCCATTACCACTTGGTACAAGCCTGGCGAAACATACGATACGAAATTCGGAGCTATTGGTTCATCATACGAGGAATGCCGCGCTGAAGCAGTGGGCCTCTACTTATCTCTACAGCGGGATATACTGGAGATATTTGGTTTCAAAGATGCTGCGGAGCAGGACGACATCGTTTACATAAACTGGCTGAGCCTAATTTGGAACGGCATGGGCGTTGCCTTGGAAATGTACAATCCCAAGTCAAAATTATGGCTGCAAGCGCATTCGCGTGCACGTTTTGTCATCATGAAAGTTTTGTTGGAAGCTGGCGAAGGATTTGTCAACATCAAAGAGACTGAGAATGGGAAAAACCTGCTGCTTACATTGGACCGTACTAAAATCCAAACGGTTGGCAAGAAGGCGCTGGGCGAATTTTTGACTAAGCTGCAGGTTTACAAATCCACCGCTGATATCGAAGCTGCTTCCAAAATGTACGAACACTACTCAGAGGTCAACGAAAGTGGGCCTTATCCTTGGGCAAAGTGGCGTGACATATGTCTGGCACACAAGAAGCCGCGCATTATTTTGGTGCAGGCTAATACGGTTGTAAACGGAGGCAAAGTGGAACTGAAGACCTATGAGCCGACCCACGAGGGCTACATTCAGTCGTGGGTTGAGCGTTATCCTACCACTGACATTGATGACATACTGGAAGATATTGTAGAGCACGATAAGAAGTATTTCCCAACTGCCTATTCTAAATAAAACAGCTGCGAGTGGCTCGTTCATGTTAATTCTGAATATAAATATATTACAAATCTTTATATATTGACAAACAATGCAGTTTCCTTTAAGATATCTTCAAAATAGTTGATCATTGCAATATACGATCTCGTTACAGTAGTTACCCGATTATTTGAAAATCCTTTTCTAACATATCGATATACAAATATCGATATAATGAAGAATATCATAAACAATGAATACAGGAATCTAGGCTAGATATACACACTTCTTTTTTTTTTCTTTTTGTTATATACTTTTATTGTTTCAGTTGGTTCTAGTTTCATGTAGTTTATAGCTTTTATTTAATTTGTTTATATGTCCTTTTGCTACCATGGCAACGATGAGTGGAATATGGGCGGATCCAAGGGATGCACAACCCGCGGTTTTCGCCACAAAGGCGCACAAAAGATTTGTGCCCATTGACGAAGACAAGCTCTTTAGAACCGAGAAACATTTCTGCAAGACCTTGATTGAAGCCGATCAAATAAGAAAAGTGCAAGCTATGGAAAAAAAACGACTTCCTAAGACAGCTAACGCCGACCTCTTGTTGACTGATGAGTTAAAGCAACTCAAGCGTCAGGAATTCCTCGATCGCAAGCGCCGTCAACAGCTTCGCAATGACTGCGAGGAGCTGCGGCAATTGGCTGAGCAGCTGCGATTGGCAGCGATCACCAAGGATCTCGAGGAGCATATGAGGGAAGTAAATAGAAGTCGACAGCTCGCAAATCATGTGAAACTGCAGGGCTTACAGCGTGCCGAGGCTGAAAGGCAACAGCAGTTGGCCATGGAGCAGGAGAAAGAGCTGCGCAAAAAGGAGCAACAGGAGGAACTGCGCAAGACACTTATATCCCAAGTAGAAGAGCGGCAGAAATGTCGTCAGAGCGAATACGTACAGACGCTGGCGGAGCGGGAGGTCCGCATGGCCATTCAGCAGCAAATCGAAGAAGAAGACAGAGAGCTTCAGTTGGAGCTACAGCGCCTAAAGATCAAGAAGCGAGATGACATCATTCAGTTTATAGAGGAAAAACGAGAATATGAGGCTCTGCAAAAGGTAAAGCTCAACGAGGATAATTTAAAAGCATTTGAGATACAACTGGAGGATGCTAAGCACAGAGAGGAAATGGAGAAGGCCAGACTTGAAGCGATACGCAAGCAACAGGAGATTAGTTCGCGAATAGGTCAGCAGGTGCTTGAAGTGGAGGTAAGTCTTCTGAAATTTAGTATTGAAAACCAGAGACCTTATAATAGTATTTTTTGAACTCTTCCATTACAGAACAGAAAGCGGCAACGCGACAATGTCTTGCTGGATCTGCTGCAGGCAGAGTACAAAGCAAAGGGCGATGAACGCTACCGGCAGCAGCTCCAGCAGGAACAGCTCGAACGCCAGCGTGCCCGTCAAGAACTAGAACGCTATCGTGCTGAAGCCTATGAGCGGCATTTAGAAGCAGTGCGCAAGAAGAAGGAACAAGCTGTTGACAAAGATTCTTTCAGCATCGACATCCACGCATGCGGCGATAACGAAATGCTGATACGCCAACAGCGGAAGGAGCATGGTGCTCTGCTTCTGTCGATGATTGAGGAGAATAATCGCAAGCGTGCCGAAGCAGCTGCGGAAAATATTCAATTTTTCAATTTGAAGGCGAAGTCAGACGCCGAGCGCCAGTCGCGTATTGAAGAGGAGCGCCTGAGAATGTTGAGTTCTGTGCCGACTGAGGTTCTGAAATATTTACCAAAGCAAGTCCTTTCGGAATCGGACCGAAAATATTTCAACGTGCAAAAACAATAAGAGTTGATGCATCAGTGTAATTGAATCCGAATATTAGCCATCACTCATTGGCGCAAGGTTATTAAAAATTCTAGATAGTAGTATTAAACAAGTGAAATATATGTATGTTAAAATATTTAATTATAGCAAAATCCTTAGTTGGCATTTTAAATGAAGACGCCCAACCCGCCCACATTGCGTACGTGACGTGTCTCATACATTGCTGAGAGTTGCCATATTTCTTTGAAACATTGATAAAATACTTAAGGCTGATATGCTAATCACAGTTTCATAAAAAACATATTTGGAACTCACAGTTTCAGAGCGCACTTTGGAGATTTTTATTAAATAAATTAAAAATACACATGAGAATAATGTAATCATTTTAAAAAGATATTAAACCATTAACAAAAACAGTTTATGTATTGGGAATACTCAAATAGTATTCTATTTAAATATTACCTTGAGTATATATAACATTAAGGCGAACATGTATTCAATACCAAAAACAGCCTATAATTCAACATTGTGATCTGTTATTATTATTATTACTTTTTTTCACTGTGAATGTGAATATTCACAAATCACTGTTTTGTTTTTCATGTAATCGCCTATTTTGAGAACCTGGCAACTCTGCGTCAAGCCCACACAACATTGAGTATGGCAGCACCAGCACGTCGCAGTCGCATTTGCTTTAGTTCAATGGCGGACAGTAACGAAAAAAGTGGGAGTGATCTTTGTTTTTCGCTTATATTAAAGAATTCAATGAAGTAAATGTTTCAACAAATAATAAACACTTCAAGCAAATAATTTGTAGTACTTTTAAAATGTCTAAGCATGTGTTAATCGTTAATCGAAGTGTCAAAGCATAAAGTGCACAAACAAAAACAAAAAAGAAAAATTCCAGAGAATACTGCGAATTGGCATAGACAGACAATACGCGGAAGCAGTGTAAGAAGCAAAACAAAAAACGAACTTTGTACGCTGTTGCAAGTACATCAAACGGAAAACTAACTCAGCTACTTAAAATATAAGAAATAAACAAAAATGTCTGCGCAACGTTTAAACGCAGCCGAAAAAGAACTAGAAAAATACATAAAATTCCTGGCGTTCAAGACAGCTCAAGTTGTGGTGCAATCTCGCCTGGGCGAGAAGATACAAACGCAATGCAATCCGCTGGGTGGCAATGATTGGTTCAATATTGTTGTGCAGGATCATCCCGATGTGCTGGACGAGACGAAACGTGCGCTGGCCCTCAAGCAAGGCGAAAGCATCCTGCAACGTCTGCCGTTATGCGTTGAGATTTCGCTAAGGACAACCGAGGGAGACAAAATGATACTGGAGGTGTGGTCGTTGGATCTGCTGCCAGTGGACAGTAATAAAGCGGCCGTTGGAGAGGATTGCAAGGGCGAGGGCGGCAACATAAACGGCTTCAATGACAGTCAAACACTGAAGGCTTCCTCCCATCAGCTGCACGTCATCTACAATCGGATGAGCATTATGCTAAAGTCGCTTATCTCGCTCACACGCACGACACCCGCCTATAAGTTGTCGCGTCGCCAGTGCCCGGACTCATATGGCATCTACTATCGTGTCTATGTGGATCGGCCGCAGGTGCACACGCTGGGCGAGCGACACAAGCAAGTGAAAATTGGTCAGCTGAATACAATTCTGGGATCGGTAATCATGTCGGTGGCTTATCGCACAAAACTCACCATTTCCCCCACGGCCGGACACCAGGCGGCAGCTACGGCACATCAGACGCAACAACACAATGCCATCATGCTGAAGTCGGATCACTTTCGGCCTGCCAGCGATGCCAGCTCTCCCATCCAGCAGATGTCAACGGTGAAGCTTGCGGCGGGCGGTGCAGGTGGTGCAGCTGGCACTGGAGCGGCGTCCGATAAACGTTTCATAGACATTGAAAAACCGTTGCGTCCAGGTGCATTTACAGATCTGGGCAAGCTGCGTCAATTTACTGAGACTGATTTCGTACTGCCGGAAACGCCGCCATTTGAGTGGATGCTGCGGACGCGGCATGAGAGCAATGGCAGCGGCTCCATCGAATCTCTGAATCGCAAATGTGAATCGCCAGTTCTCAACAACAACAATAACAACAACAACAACAACAACAGCATTAATGGCAGCAGCTGCAACAACATCAATCAAAACCACAACAACAACAACTCGACAGCATTTAAGAGCTTTGAGAAATCAACAACAGCCGCAGCAGCACCTAGTGCAGCATCGCCCATTAAGAGTCTATTAATCCCCGCGAGCAGTGCCACATTGCGCTACAAGTCAGCGTCAATGTTGCAGGAACAGGCATCCGCGTCCTCATCGCAGCTGCAACAGCCACCGGACGACGACAGTCTGCTGAAGGAGCTGCATTTCCCGTTCGCCTCGCCCACATCGCAGGTGAATGATCTGGCGAAGTTCTATCGGGAGTGCTATTATGCGCCGCCATTGCTCGGGCTGAACGAACTGCAAGCGCCTGCAACAAGTTGTAGTGCCACAGCGGCAGCTGCAGCTGCTCTATCCAGCAATGCAACCGATGGCAGCATGGATGATTTGTCGCGCCAGCTGGAGCAGTTTGAGACGTCGCTAGAGGATTACGATAAGCTCGTCTCGCAATTCGGATTGAGCGCCTCTTCGTCAACGGGCAGTCGCAGCAGCGGCGGCCTTCAGATGAGCAATTGAAGAGATCAATGGAGACAGAAAAATAGAGTGAGATAGCTTGAACGAGGGTCGTTTCAATAGTAGCTCAGACTAGTTAAGTTTCAATGATAGGCTCAAGATAATTTGTACGTTGTGCGTTCTTTAAATTGTTTACACTGAATAGGCTATTATGATATTATTATTATCTTCATGTCTCCACTGCATACATATAACAGAAATAGAAAAAGAAGAAAAGAAATTCCTACTATAGGCTAGTTAAATGGGCTTCAGTTTTGTATAGTAATCAAGTAGGGAGCTCATCACGTTTCACGTTTTCAGTGCAACGATTCATAATATACGAACAGATCATCCAAACTCTTTCATACATATATGTTATTAGATTGGGGCGTACGCCTCGCTTGTTGTTTATTTTCCTCTTTGTTTATGTGCCTTCGTAGGAAATACACAAATATACACACTTGAATATAATATATACGAAAATGCATCGATCCAATTGGCTACAGTTTAGATTCGAAGCGAAATAAAAGTTGCCTTTTGCTTATCGAGAATAATAACGAGCTCATAATTCGCAATTTGAACTACCTAAAGATCTAAGTAGATCTAAAGTAGCACCAAACTATTAGACTAACCAAATTTGTATGAAAGACTTGAATAGTTTTACGAATTGTACATACATATTTGTCTAGTAATATTATTTTGTATATAGCCAGGGAGAGAGAATAAATAAGGAGCTGCATTAACAAATGTAAAATATTCTTCTATTCTACTCTATTTTATTCGATATATTTGTATTGTCGCGCTTTGTTATTTATTGGTTCCACGAAATGTGCTAAGTTTTGCATCTTAATCAAATTGAAACACATATAGTATCTATATTATATATGTGTATGCATATAAAAAATAAGGAAAATATGTCAAATTAAACGAAATTGTTTAACAGAACACAAATTGTTTATTTATTTATACCCAAATGCCTTTGATTATCAACTCTAGCTGACCTTGATCGTATATATACATATGTAATAAATAAATTGTAATACTGGCTTTTAGAACCTGCCCTACGATTCACCTTCAAACTTGCCAATCAGCCAGCTCGAGCAGCTATCCTAATCATAAGTACATACAAATTGTTTATAATTGAATCGCGTGATATGGATTCAACATAAACTATAAACCTGAGATTATTTCTATCAGCTTCTTCCAGGAAATGTTCTACGGGAACAGCTATGAACTGTTCGCATCTTGTTTATGTCAGTTGTTAGTTTTTTTTCCTCGATCGTAGCAATTAAATATTATATAATAAGCCGCAGAGTTGTTGTTGCTGTTGTCGTGGTTGTGGTTTGCTGTCCGTTGGGTTTTAGCTGCACTCAGTATTCACTACAAAAATAACTGCTAGATATTAGGTAAATTTCTCGGCACCCATAACACTTAGTACACTGTTAAAAGTTATATTCATCTGGCGGACAATATAATCTGAATCAGCTAGAAAACAGTATTTTTCTTTGTCTATAACACATTCTTTTAATAATGCATTGCCAATGGTGATCTTAAGTGTACCAGAGTAGTTCATGATGCATCGCTAATGGAGATCATAAATAAATCACAATATATGTATGATGAAGATGTATGATTCGCTAATGAAGCTTTTAACTAAACATTAGTAAGTGCATTACCTATTCACCATCATTCTGATAATTGCTCTTTTTGTTTTAGTTTGTTTTTGTCGTTAGGCATTAAAAGTGCATTGCAAAATGTTTGATTTTTTTTTTTTTTTTTTTACTGTCCACGTAGAATGAACGTCACTATGGCAACGACATCGCTAAGGTTAAATAGTTTTATTTTTAAATATACATATACAAACACATTGATGCATACGTGTTTGTGTAAACAGATGTTGCCATGGATGTGTTTCTACACATACATCTGTATCATTGCGTATGTATGCACAGGCATTTGTGTGCGTGTTAGTGTTGCGCTTTTTGTTTTGCTACATCTTATCTGTTGTTTTGCTAATTCGCTATTTCAATTTTTCCTCAAGTGCCTTAAGCACAAATAGGCAAGTGCACACATACATACGTATATATCAGAGCAGGGTTGGTCCGGTAAGTTTGCCCGGTTGCCGTTGAGGAGGTTGGCAAACTTTTGGTGTGACTGTCGCACCCAACAGGTCATTGGTAGTAGTGTAGTGTGCAGATATTTGCCGTCGTCACACCAATGCAAAAATATAATTCGCCTTTGTTGATTCGCTGTTGCCAGGCGAATTGATATTCGCCTTTGGCTTTGTCATAGACCGCAACGTTGGCTGTGTAAAGCAGCTCGCCGTCAACCTTACTCAACATTGTATCGTTGCAAATTGCAAGTGTGTGTGTGTGTATGTGTGTGCATAATAATTGGTTTCGCCAGGCAAACACTGCGCTCCATTTTGGAGCCCCTGTTACCCCCACTAAGGTTGCACGCGTAGGTCGACCGTTGCCACCGCCAACGTCAAAGTTGTTTTCATTAGTTTCAGCTTCGGCGTCTCGCGTCCGGCATCCGACGGTTTGGCAAGCTGGTTGTATATTTCTTCGCGGGGAGCTAACTCTCACTTTTGCACCCACACAGCCCAAATTCAATTTATATTTATTCAACCAGACTTTGGCCGCTAGTCATTCATATAATCTTTGATTGCTGTGAAGATTAGATAAATGCTATCAAAAATGATGGCTAAATGTAGTTACATAGATCCCAAGGTGTGAAACGTGACAATATACTATATTGTATGTATTATATGAATTGCAGTTAAATGAGATAAGAATAATACAATGCGATTCACATGCCTTGCAATAAATTACCTTTAAAGTAAAATTCAGTATTTTCGGCATTCCATGATAAGAAACCTGAAAAATCCAAGCGCAGCAAAATAAAAGTTTGTACATATGTATGTATGTGTGTATATAAACAAAAAATATATACTACACAGATAAGCAGAAAAAGTAAAGCATTTTTACGATTACGCTTTGCTTAGGTATTCGTCAATGCACATTTTTGGAATTTTTCTGTGAAAACTTTAAAGATTAATGGCTGCGTGGCAGTTTACGAGCAACTGGTCAATTGCTGCATAACAGTTTGGAAGCAACTGGTTTTACGAGTTGCAGTATATAGACACACACACATACAAATACTGTGCATGTGTCGGTATGTTAATGCATATGCACAAACTCGCAAACAAGGGGCGAGTTGTTGTTGTTTGTCTGGTTTGCCGGTTTTTGCGCCAGCTGCAATAATAAATAGCATAATTTAAGTTATATTTAGACACCCACTGTTTCCGCTTGCAGCCGACTATTTGAGACAATCTGTGGGCTCTGTTACAGCGGATCGATTGTCAAAGTTTAGCCATATTAAGCTCTAGCTCTATTACATGTCGTTCCCAGAACAGTCTAGCACACATGAGCATAAGAGAATCATTTGTAATTTAATTATAGCGTCCCAACTGTTGCTACGTGCCATTTGTCTGGTAGAACACAGGCAACATTGTAAGGCGCCACCTTTCGGTGTTGTTTATTTGATTTCGTCTTCTTTTTGTTATTGTATTTTTATTTTATTTTTTTCAGATGGCCTCGACGACGCTTTGTTTGCTTTCATTATGTAGTGACAAACAAAAGTCGTTGATCGAATCGCGCCTGGTTTTTAATGGGCTGATAGTAGGATAAAGGTACTGTTATAAAATGATAAGAAGCTTCATAAAACTACAAGGTTTCATTACAATTACATATTTACTTACATATGTACGAACAGACATTTGATTGTAGTTAAGCTTGTATAAAATGCAATAATTGCAATGCGGAAACTGAAAAGCAGAAATTGCAAACCTCACACTGTCAGGCGGAAGTGTAATTCACAGATCAGGCATCAATTATATTAGTATTCAGAATAGAATATTGCGTATATTGAATTGTACTGACTGAACAAAATTTCCTCGTATCAACTATACTCAAAAATGTTTCAGCATATTAACTCATCAGAGTACAGAAATAATTAATTTATTTATTATTATCAATAGAAATAAAGTAATTAAATATATATGCTACGGTATTACAGCAAATTACTTGTAAATACAATTTTGATCTACAAATTAAAATAAATGTAAGATTAGGCGCGTAAATTCAAGCACGATATTTTTTATCGGTTCCTTAAATAAATTTCCTCATACACTGGACTGCCAACTTAACTCAAACTTAGCAACTACTTGATCGAATATACTGGTTTATTGGTGGGCAACTCAACTATTTATTTATTTAGTACAACAAAAATGTAAAAAATGTTTTGTTTGATAAAATATTTCATTATTCAAAAAGTTTTAAAATATATTTTTAGACATTTTTGTATTTACTGAGTATCGAAGTACTTTGTCCAAATTAAGATCCACAATATTCACAGCCTTGTTAATGTAGTGGCTTATCGATATGTTAATCGATTATAGCTTCTTCTCTGCTAACTTCGACTTGAGAAACTAGGGTGTTAAATAAATAGTATATTGAAATATATTTATATCAGGCGTGTTTAAGCCAGCTAACGAAGCTGGCCAATTACAAAAAAATACATACCGGCGACAAGCCGTACACGTGCACCTACTGCCACATGCAGTTCAGGCAGCAGGGCACGCTCATCAACCACATAAGGACGCACACGAATCTCGTCAGTCAGCCAGCCAGACTGGAGCACACAGCAATGCCAGCGCATCTTGGACACGGTGCACAACAGCTGACAAATGGCTTGCTGCAAAACAACCTGCACAGCACAACGCCCAACTTTCTGCAGCTGGAGCATCATCCACTGCTGCATTTCCTTGAAGGCAGCACAACAGTAAGCTCTTTGGTTGCGAGCAATGCAGCGGCTGCTGCGGCGTCCGCTGCTACGGCAGGCAATACGGGGACAGCGCCAATAAATCCAAAAACTGAACCTAACCAGACCGAACAGACCCCTCGCTTAAACGTGGGCACCATTAATATGTTAAGAAGCGACAATCCCGATCGCCCATTTGGCTGTAGCGTCTGCCGGCGCTTCTTCTCCCAGCAGAGTACCCTGGTAAACCACATTAAGACGCACACGGGCGAGAAACCATACAAATGCAAGATCTGTGATGCAAGTTTCCGGCAAGTGGCCACGCTCAACAATCACATGAAGATCCATACTGGAGAGAAACCGTACAACTGTTCCTACTGCCCCAAACAGTTCCGGCAAAAGAGTACTCTCCAAAATCATATAAGGATCCACAAATGCTAGTTTGGATATTAGATCAAATTCGGATACAGTTGTAAATGCGATACATACACCAACACATGCGTAATACATTAAAATACATTAAAAACAAACATGATGTACTGGAAAGTGTAATTTATCTGCTATGCAGAGCGCAATTAAATGTAAACAAAACTAAAAACTATAGTATGTTCGTCGAGCTAGAATATCTCTTAATTTACAACATTCTCAATACGAAATTTAATTACTTATTAATTTTATCAGTTTTATATTCCTTTTATCTTCCCAAGTAGATCAAACATAATATACAAATTATCTAAAGCCATTTCAATGCATTGGGATCATTTATACCTATCAACAATATGAATACATAAATTCATAGATATTGCGGTTAGTTTTATAAATGTTTATTTAGTTAAGAACGGTGTTTTATTTTAGAAAGTAGGCAGCTCTGTTAAGAGATCAGTAACAAAATGTTAAGTTAACAGTCGTCATGAATAACAGAAAATGTTCATTCATTGCGAACTAGTCGAGCAACAGAAATTACCTTGGTTCGCTCAATGAATAGTTCGATTGAACATATACCAAACGAACAATTTTAATTGAGTGAGAATTTTAATGAAAAAGCTAATATTGCTTTAAATAATTTGTGTCAGTGTTCTTATAGGTAAATAGAGTTAATCACTGGATATAGACATCCAAAGTGCCCACGAATCAATTGCATAAATAATAAGATAAGAGTTTCAGATGTACGCCCAATTTGGCAAGACCACTGTTGTTGTTCTTGTTGTTGTTGGTGGCCACAAACACAAATATGAGCAGTGTTGGCCATTTTAGCTAAATTGAGAGAAATTCATATATAGTTAAGAAACCGGACTCGGCCATAAAATAGCTGAACAATCAACACTGATTTATAGAAAAGATACTTTTATATTTTGTTTGCCGTTTTCAGTGAAGCTAAAAACGTCGAGCGTGTACGTAGAAATTGACTGAGGCGAGCTGCAACAAGTGCAACAAGTGAAAGCCAATTACCAGAAATGCCGCCCGTTCAGTAAGCGAAACAAGCAGAACATTCCAAATTGAAATATTAACGATATTACATCATCGTCATTATCATCATAACGCTAGAAGTGACCCAAATTTCGCTTTGCTTCATTCATTAATTTTTGGTCAAGGTGCTGCAAAATTTAATTGATTAGAAAAAGCACAATCATCACTTAAAACTCACTCCAAATACAATTATGCAGACCATTTCGACTTTTTGGTATCTGTGAGACATGTGCTGGGTATTTGCTGCCCGCATAAGTTGCACTTTCTTGGTGTTAAAGCGCCAGATGTTTACTCCATCGATGACGTCATGGCAACATTCAAATTTATTTATAGCCGCCGCTGCCGCACAGTTGTGTTGTTTACCTAGTGGCGTATGTGTGTATATGTAGCTGTGCGAGTGTGTGTGTGTGTGTGTGATTTGGCGTCTCGCAGTGGTGCTCAATTCAAATTATGCACACTTTTCGATTGCAAATCTAACTCCTACTTTAGCTGACCCTCCGCCCATCTGCTTTGTTCAACGATTGCTTTTCAACTGTCGACACTCGCAGTGCACCGAAGCCGAAGCTACTTATGACTACATTGCCCAAATCAATCCACAAGGAATGCAAAGCTTTTTAACATTCGTCAGAAATATGATTCATTCGCGTCAACAATGCTGGTTCGCTTGCTTGATAAGCCAGACACGCAAACTTTACGTTCCCCAAAACGTCTCCGTTTTCCAGTTGTCATTTCCATGCGCTACCCCACACAGTTCTGAGCGAAAGCCTTCATCATGATGTACTCCAAAGCTGAAGTGTAACTGATTGCTAATCATGTGTATTTCAAAATGTGATCTATACTAATCCTAAATGGTTTATCCTTCTTCCCTTGCAGAGTTCAGGCCATTAATATGTCGCTGGGTGCAATGCATTGCACGAGATGCTCTGACGGATTCGAGCCCACCGAGAAGATTGTCAATTCCAACGGCGAGCTCTGGCACACGCAATGCTTTGTGTAAGTGCACACTCGATATATTTGATTGATAATTGTATTGTTATTTTTTATATTTCCTCTTACAGCTGCGCTCAGTGCTTCCGACCGTTTCAGGATGGCATTTTTTACGAGTTCGAAGGACGCAAGTACTGTGAACGGGACTTCCATGTGCTATTCGCACCATGTTGCAACAAGTGCGGCGAATTCGTAATTGGACGTGTCATTAAAGCCATGTCCGCCAGTTGGCATCCGCAGTGCTTCCGGTGTCAATTGTGCGCCAAAGAGCTGGCCGACAGTGGCTTCATTCGCAACCAAAATCGTGCACTTTGCCATGAATGCAATGCCAAGGTGAAGGCAGAGATAACGGGTCGCTATGTGTGCCAAAAGTGTCAGTAAGTGGGCGTGGTCTCAAATACTCGAAATGATAAACTAACCCAGATCTTTTTAGCGGCCTGATTGACGAGGAACCGTTGCGATTCCGTGGCGAAGTGTATCATGGCTATCACTTCAACTGTTCAGCCTGTGGCACAGAATTGGATGCCACAGCGCGCGAAGTCAAGAGTCGGCCTGGCCTGGTCGCGAACGATATGGTGGATATAAATTTAGCTCTACATATGACTATTATATTTTTAACAGTTGCTTAAATTTTTATTTAGAACGAACTGTATTGTCTTCGCTGTCACGACAAGATGGGTATTCCCATTTGTGGCGCCTGTCGCCGACCCATTGAGGAGCGTGTGGTCACAGCGCTGGGCAAACACTGGCACGTTGAGCATTTCGTTTGTGCCAAGTGCGAGAAACCCTTCCTGGGTCATCGCCACTACGAGAAGCGCGGACTGGCATACTGTGAGACGCACTATCATCAGCTCTTTGGCAATTTGTGCTTTGTCTGCAATCAAGTCATTGCTGGAGATGGTTAGCTAGAGCTTATTGTTTTATATATTTACTTCGAATACATTTTATTTCATTTTCATTTCAGTTTTCACCGCATTGAACAAGGCATGGTGCGTTCATCACTTTGCCTGCTCCGTGTGCGATACGAAAATGACGCAAAAATCGAAATTCTACGAGTACGATGAAAAGCCAGTGTGCAAGAAATGCTACGAACGGTTTCCCAACGAACTGCGACGACGTCTGCGCACCGCCCACGAGATGACCATGAAGAAGAGTGTCTAGTGGAATAAGTTGTAGCATTCAATTGTCCAGCTCAGCTTTTCCAGCACACAAAATCTACACCAAAACGTGTAAAGTCAAAGTGCCTATTGCCGTTTAGTTCTTTGTTTGTAGTTGTCCACTTCTAACATTCAATGTTAATTCTCAAAACTAAACAAAACACTGTGCCTTTTTCATATAACTGTAAACTTTTAATTTCCGTTGTACTGTAATAATTTCTAAACTAAAGGCGTGTACAGTTCTGGCATCGCTTAATATTTTTTTTGTAGCTGTTTTACAACGGCAAACATAACACAAACATATTGTACTGGCAGCTGTTATCTAATTGAATTTTATTTATATACATAAATGTTTTTAATATATAATAAAATTTAAATGGTAGTCGGAATTCTATTTTCTTGGGGCATTGCTAAAATTAATATAGGCAAAGCAAATAATCCGCCATACGGCAGCAAAACTTTGCTGCTAACGCAATGTTAAGCTCCTGTTAGAATCGATAAATTATCGAAGAATTTGGCGGTTAAGACTACTGTTTTGAATTTTTAAACCTGTTAGGAAGAATATTCCAAATGCGAATGGCTGCTAGCCAACAGATAAATGTATGAATATCACAAATATTTTCTTTTGTATGGATAGTAATTTTAATTTAATGCAGCTCAAGTATTATTAGCTCCTAGGATGAAATATATTCCACTCGAAGACTCTCGAAGTTAACTCTTTGTAAATTCGCTCCAATAGCTTTTATTATTAGTCTCTTCAGTGATTTTTCTTTTCTCTGACTTCCGTGTTATTAATAATATAATTGGTTTGCTCTGGCAATGCGATATCTATATTTGTTCAGCCAACATGAAGATGCAATTTATTGCATGCATTAAGGGAGACAATATAATGGGGCATCGACGTTTATTAATTTGTCATGGGCTTAAACGGAGCTGGTATGGTTGTCTGCCAAGCCAAAGTCCTTTGCACTCATTGCATTTCAACACGTTTGGCAGTTTCACTTTTTCGACTGCCCCAAAAGAAACGAAGACAACGCACATTAATTAGGAACCTTCATTAGACACATGCCTATCAAGCGGACTTGGATTCGGACAAGTGCGCCCTCGGCTATATCCAGAATCGTTGCTGGTGCATTGGATATATCCAAGTTTCATGTAATTAAGCCAGACGCGCTCACAATTTAAATTGCTGCTGCGCCGCATCGCGTCGGGTTGGGCCGAGCCTTCTGCTCGTTCTTCATACGCGTCCCGTCGCGTCGCGTCTCTCCCTCCGTATCTGTATCACGAATTGGCAATTGAGCAGCTCAGTCGGAGAGTTGGCGCATCCGAGTCCCTCCTCATCAAGATCCTCACCGGGGCATCCGTAGCAGCAGCAGCTTCGTCTTCTTTCTGGCTGCGACGTTCGCTCGTCAGCGTTTGAGCCAATAATTATGGTTATTAATCGGCTGGAGAATTGGCTGCTAATTTGCAGTTTAGTTACAAATTCTGGCCGCCAGCGTGCAATTACTCGCTTAAATTATAGCTTCAAAATAAACAAAACGCCGCAACGCCCGATCTGGGGGCCCGAAAGTTGGCGGGGGGCAAAGGTCACGCCGTATGGCAAACGCACATTGCATTTTATATGTTTGCTTATCAGAGAGGCCATCAGGAGGCTACGCTGCTCATCAGCTAATGATGCTCAGAGTCGAGTCCCTGCCTCTTGTGCTGCTGCTGCTGCTGTTGTTGCAATCAACGTTCACCAGCTGGACTCATAATTAGATGGCCCAGTGCCAGTCATGGGCGTTACTCAATCATGGCCTGATGGCACAACCCCCAAGACGAATCTATCGCCAGTGCGCGTGAGCGAGCGAGCGAGGGCACGATCAGTGCAGCTACAACATAATTTCCAGACTTCTCCGGCTCGTCCACAGTTGCTTGAGCCCTTGTCCAATTTGAGAGGCGCTCGCATTTCGCGGCCACGGCAACACTTTTGCTCCGCCAAATCAAATCGTGTGCTGTTTATTTAAATAACCATAATTTAGCAACGCTTCTCGTCTCCGACCATTGACCAATTGGGGGCCCATTTATTAACCCACACACTCTGCAGCACCACGAGCACCACCAGCACCACCATCAGCAGCAATGGATGGGGCCATGGCCAGTGCTTCAGCATTATGGTACGATCTGTTCCCAGTGCCCGGCATCATGAATTTTCATGTTTTGTGAGAACATAAAAATTCAATTTAATATGCTCTCGAGTTCGTTTGGAGTAGGTTTTTAGCAGGAAAACGTTTTGTCTACGGGCATCGGTTAATGAAAATTTAGTTCAATCATTGTGGATAACCGTGTTCGAGCTCGTTTGAACAATCTGGCGAAATACTTTATCATGCATCGAGTTGGGCGATATCTATTTGGTTGTAGGTGTTGATTGGCTAGCAGACGAGAGATTCCATGATATCGCTTGATATTGTCACTGCGATCATTTGTGGCACATTATGACAATGTGTCGATTACGATCGTAGAAATGCTAATAGAAAACGGTGATGCCTTGGTCTATATTCTGGTGTATCAAGTTTCTGTAAAGGTACAAGTATTTATCTTGAATTAATTGTTTTGCGACTCAGGGAAAGAAAGAGAATGTGTTGCGAGGGTGTTGTTATTATATAAGACAATGAAGGGAAAACATGTTTTTTATAGCAAACCCTACTTGTATTCAAATAAATTAGTAATAATTAAGGTTAGAATAGAGCGTTGGCGGGGTTGAATATAAGAGTGTGAAATAGGAAGAGGAAAAAAGGCAGAGATAGAGAGAATGTCGGAAATATAGAAACACAGAGAGCGTTAGAGATAATAGATAATCGGTAAAGACAAAAATAGAGTGAATAAACGAGGAAGAAGCAGTCAGTTAAAACGAGAGAGTGAGAGAGCGAGAGAAAATACAGAGTTATACAAAAAGCCAGAGGGAGCGAGAGAGAAAGAGACAGTAAGAGGCAAAGGACAGAAATACAGTGAGAAGGAGGGCTAGACAGAGATGGAGCAAGAGAGAGAGAAAGAGAGAGAGGGGGAGAATAAGAGAAGTAAATTGGCAAAATCGAAAATATACTTAGAAACAATTGTCGGTTCCTTCATTCGAAGATTATGATATCCGTCGATTATTTTCAACAACTTAAAAGAATTTTTCATTTGTTTAATAAATATAATAAAATATAAAGATAATTGTATAAATTAAAATTCGTTGTAGATTAAAATATTGCTCACTTTCGCTATATAAAATGCTTTTTGTATATGGGTAGCTCGATTGTTTGGTGCATAGCACAATAAATGCCATTATTAACGATTAACGATTTATGATCGGGGTAAGTGCTACGAAATTGGCCAACTTCTAACTTGGCTCGCTGATTCCGCTGTCCGCCTGGGCACTCAGCACGTCAGGTTTGAAAAAAATGAGCTTGTTAACGCTCCAT